GTACAGGATAGTTCTAAAAAGCAGAGGGCGTGAGAATAGTCACGTGATCTCGCTGACGCAACAATACGAATAAAATATACGAAGTGGGAAAATGCTAGTAAAGTATAAATTTCATTACATAAAATATTCTATTTTCTAAACCCTTCCCACAAGAATGGAAAGGCCCCCAAAATTATAACATTCAAATAACTTCTATAAAATTTGTTAAGTTGGTAAATACGAGCTAAAACTTGAAGGTATAGTTTTAGCGTTCTGCGCATATTAATACGCACGTATGACCTCTACGACGACAAAGGTAACATTAAAACTATCCCAGGTATGATTTGTGATGTTATTAAAGCGCCCTCTGCTACAAATCTATGTAATTATTATGCGAACTGAAATTATAGTTATTTTTATGTATCTAATAAAATTTACAGACCTAATGGATTTTATATATCACAGAATAATGAGATTTTGAGTTTGGTAAACTCATCCCTAATTGGAAAGCAAATAATATATATATAAAACTCAAAATCTCTGTTTGTTTGCTTGCTTGTTTTTCCGCCGCGTTCACTGCGCAGTTCACACTTCCCTCACGTGAAGGTGCGCAAAACGACAATTTTTCATTCATATACGCATTTATCGTCTGCTACCGAATCGGTAATTTTATCGTTAACACATATATTACACGAACAAATTCTAAGCAGACTTGACATTTTTGGGTAAGTTTGAGTTAACATTTAATTTAGAATATAGCATTATAGGCCTATTTAGTTATAAATAATTAACTATACATCATATACTTAACCTCACACATAAAAGAAATGTATGGAGAATTAGAATGTTGTGTGTGAAAAATGATATAGTAGGCTTAGCCTATAAAATAAAATTATGCTAGTTGTCGTAAAATAGAATATATGAAAAGAGTGAGGCTTGAATCTCATTGTACGCAATTATAATACTTATTGCGTACAATGAGATTCAATTGAAGTCGGCGTAACTAGTAGAGCGCTTACATGAAGTGGAAGATGGTTTGAACCTGGAAATTGTATTTTGTTTATTACTATTACAATAGATAGACCTATTTGGTTATACGTTTTTAATTATACATCATATATTTAACCTCACACACAAAAGAAATGTGTGTAGAATTAGAATGTTGGGTGTGATAAAGCAAACAGTAGGCCTAGGCTATAAAATACAATTATGCTGTCTACCATAAAATAGACTAAGTGAAAAGAGTAAGGCTTACATTATAATACTTATTGTGTAAAATGACATTAAAGTAACATCAGATAAGGTATTTGATTCTACTTT